AAATAGGAAGTGGTTATAATTTCTTAGTGGGTGGGTCTCAATTCTAGTTTTCTAAGATGGTCAATAGGAACTCCTAGAGCTAGATCCTAAGACCTTAGAAAAGGAAATGACCTTAAAAATGAGGTCAACACTTCTTACGGGCAACCCCCCAGAAAAGGAAATGACCTCAAAAATGAGGTCAACACTTCTTACGGGCAACCCCCTCAACTTTAGCCTTTTAACTTCTCCCTCTTTTTTTTTATCGCCGACAGGGAGACGCTCACAAGTTTTTTTTTATTTTTATTTTTATTTTGTCTATTATGGATGGGTCTTGCGCATGAAGGAAGTGAGATTTCAAGTTGGTTAAAAGGAGGGGAAAATTTTGTGGTAATCGGGAGAGAAGTGGAGGGAGGGGAAGGAAAAGAAAGATGCACATGGGTTTCCTTTGAGAGCTCGTGCTCCTGGCAACATCCGGAAGGGCAATTTTCATTGTCTAGGAACCAGTTTTACTGCACATCTCATTCTAAGGTGCTCTACACTTATTTCTTAAAAGTACCTGAACTTTGTGACTTCAAACCAATCGACTGCATTAGATTTCAGATTTGATTTTCTGTTTGGGGAAGATTATATGTTTGTGCCTATGCATATTGACTATTTTGATTTGGATGGGCTTCATTAGTTCCCAGGTTATAGAATAAAGATGGAACTGAATAAAATAGGAAATTGCCGTTGATATTCTTTACAGGAATTAAGGAAGGCATACTTCCAATTTTTTTTTCTTTTCAAATTTTTTATCTCCTTTTCTAGTCAACCATATAGGCATTCATCAAGTAAAGCAACATTAGCAATTCATTTTTTCAAAGAAACTTCACTTTCAAATGGATTCCAAAGGGCTTTTCTTTTACCATACAATAGGAACTTAATTAATTTTTTTTTATTTGTGCTTACATTTATGTTATTTCCAGTCAAAGTTAAGCTGTTCAATTTTTGTGAATCATTTGTAAACAAACGGTTTAAACACATGCTCATAGGTTGATCTTTGAGTTGTTTTGCATTTCAGCACACCCTGTTAGGGTCGAGCGCTATTAGCTTGTGAATGTGAAGTAATTGTGACCTTACTATTATTGTCGAGAAAATGATCAAAATGTGACTATTTGCAGGGGGTGCTAAAATGGTCCCAAACTATATAAAAGATCCGTTTAATCCCTAGATTATTTAAAGAGGAACCAAAATTGGTCCCCCAATTGGATTATTTGTCTCCATTTAATATGTTTGAAGTTTGTTTCAGTCTCTATTCAAGCAGTCTGAAGACCAAATTGACCTTTTAGGTAGCCCGGGATCATTTTGACATCTTGTTAATAGTCGGGGAACCTTTTTTTATTCTTGCCTCTATTATTGTGAAAGCTCATGGCATTAAACTCTCAAGCCAACGCAGGAGTTATAGATAGTCCAAGTGGTATTGGTGGAATTACCCTCACAAGCATGCAACCCATCATATTTACAATAGAAAGGGAGTCCCCAATGAGAAAGGTAACAATAGATGATCCAACCAAAGAGGGAGCAATGCTAGGCAGAGCCATGTATCCAAGACTCATTTTGACAAAGAATTAATGTAATTGGGCCCAATAGCAGCACACCCAAGAAAAAGGAGATGCAGCAAGGGCATCCTAAATGTGGGAACGTGATCTCTTTGGAGAATACATGACTCCTCTCCTCTCATGGACCCTTATTGCTACATTTGCCCCTAGCGTCAGGGCCTTGATGCAGACTTTTTTGAAATCAATACAAAAGCACTGGGATATTGACCAGCCCTTATGGCAATTATATAACTTATCTTGGTGTCCCCTCCCCTCTCCACTAGTTGGTTCAAGGCGTCTGCTAGTGAAGCTCTAACTCCAGCAATAATGTGCATGGGTACCCACGTTGTTATTGAAGAACCACTTTTAAGAAGGACTTACCCAGTGGGCAGAAGAGCTCAACCTTGCCTGATGATTTTGTTTTGAACTCATGTATTAGAGCTTCATATACTTGTTTTGTTTGCTTCTAGTTCATCTAATAGAGGGCTAGCTTCTTTCTTTTGTTCCTACGCTTTTGCCTTAATTTTTAATGCAACATGCTCTAGTTCAAGAATTGGATCATAAATGTGCCGAACTCAAATTTAAGGCCTTTATGTTAATAGCACCAGTATTTTTTTGTGTTAAAGTGCAAGCTCATGGATTATCTACTAGTTTTTATGATATTCTAAAGTGCAAGCTCTTGCATTATATACTATTTTTTATGATATTAATTCACACGAACTTGCAGGAATCTTTTTAATCATTTCTTCACCCGTGATATGATGAACCCTAATGATCTGTGTTAGCTCTTGTGATTATCTTTTAATTTTAATCATGAAAAAAAAAGAATCTAGCTTAACCATTATATTGACTTAATCCAAATTCAATTTACATTGATTTTTTTTGTCTTTTGAATTATACTTGAATAAATGAGCATGTCAAATATTTATTTTTACATGATACCGTTTATGCTTAGTTTATCATTTTATTTTCTTCGCCATGTTTCTGTATTTGCATCAAATTTTTTCATGATTTGCCATATCACCATGCGAGTCTGTGTCCCCTTCATTTTATGGCTTCTTGGCCAGCAAGGCAACAACACAATACTTAAATGTTCAATATGCTATTCATTTCCTGTACTACATTAAAACATTATTCAGAAACATAACTCATCTTAATACCGGTTTTACCTTTTTTTCTCTTTGATTTTTTTCCCTGAAGCCATGTTACAACATAGATTTCTTTGTGAGACATCTCGACACACGTCTAGTTCAAGATCTCAATATGCACTTAATTTTTCACAAACATTTTGTTTTCCGTGGTTCACTTCCATGTAAACTTTAGTTAAATCTTTTGTCTGGTTATATTTTTAAGATACTGTTTTATATCTGTATTTTTTTGCCCACTTAGTTAACGCCATTGACTCAACCTATTTCTTTTGTTTTTGGCTCCCAAATTGTTCTCATCAATGCACTCCATGTGTTTTATTGTCATACGTTTATTCAGAGCACGTCAGTATTAAGTTGTTTGGATTCTTCTCCTTTCAAATCTTCACCTCTTAAGTAAAATTGTTTAAAACTTTCCTTTATTCAAACTGATATTTCCTTCTAAAGTTATTCCTACATTATTAGGTTTTATAGTAACATAAACCTCCATACTACCTTTTTCAGGATGAATTTTGTCTTTAACTAATCTTCATACAAAAAATTATGCTCTTATTCTGTAACTTTTTGGCTTTTTTTCCTCAAGTTTAGATAATTGCATGTGAGTTCAGCAAAACATGAGTTTGGGATGCATTGCGTGCCACAGCATAGACAGCCCTACACATTCCTTCCAAAGCTACTCAGCCTCAAGCTCAGACAATGAAGGCCGATGCACCGCAATGTTGAGCTGCCTGACTCGGACGGCGGCCAATCTCCTAGGGAACGCAAAGATTGCCCCGCTCTCGAGCATCTCAAATGCCCAAGGCATGGCAGGAGCCCCACGCCTTGTGCGGAGCTGCGCTGTAACAAGAGATCATGTGAGGGATTGGAGTTTCGACGAACTTCTTCTGGAGAGCTGATTTGATTTGTGTTGAACCATAAGGATTCTGCTTTGCTTCAATACAACATTAGATTCCTAGTACCTCAGTCGTTTGTATATGACTATTTCTACTCTATGCTGACTATATTTAAGAAGGCCATAGCGGTTAAAAGTAGTTTGATTAGAAACTCTTTGGAAAACACCAAACAATCTGATGATTTCCAAGCATTGTAATGTGATGATGTATGGCACGTACTTCTTATTGGTGCATGTTGTTATTGTCATCTGCTACATGTCACTTGCACTTCTCCTAGTACTTGAAAAATTTAATGATCGATGGCTGAATTATTAGCTTCTATAAAAAAGAACAATAATAGTAAACATGTATACTTATTTAATTCATCTTACTAAATATAAATAAATAAATACATGCATTGAATGCCCTCTAAAAAAAGTAAAATTCATTTTGGATATACGATGTAAAGAATGTAATTTTGTTGATCATCTCCAAGCAAGAATGCCAGATTAATGTGCCACAAAACAATGGCAAATAAATGGCAAATCAAAGGTGAAATGTCTTGAAAGAGAAGAATGGATATTTATTTAACATAAAGAGTAAGATATAATAGAGCCATGCCTTTGCCACATATAGTAACAAAGAAATAGAATAAAAAGTAATTTTGGGTATTAATTTTTTATAATTAAAGATATGTTTCTTAAGTGGTATGGTTACATTAATTAAACTTCTTATTTCTTAAGAGCAGTTGAAAGTGTGAAAACTCAGAAAGTACACAGTGTCTGCTACACATCAAATATTGTCTCTAGTTATATTGATTAAGATGAAGAATCTAAAAAATTAGAAATATAATAAAGGAGCAAAATTTGATGGGCAAACAAAGTAAGAAGATAATCAAGCCACACTTAAAGGAGTTAAATTTCCTAGAAAGGTTTTATAATAAACACCAAACTAACGATTAGAATACCAAAATGGATAGAAAAGATTGTCCACCACAATTAAAACTTTATTTGGGCTTATTAATGCTCACATTATTCAAAATTATCAAATTTATAGATGGAAGAAATAAAAAAACACTAATAAATTTCTAATAAAGTACATAATTTCTTTAAGCAACAAAATGGCCTTCTAAGAGGGTAAATCCTATAAAAGTAGCCAATATTCATGAAACTGATGCATTTATCATGTTAGAAAATCAAGTTGCTGCAATTTCAAGGAAGTTAGACAAATTTTGGATTGAATTTTTCTCAACCAATTTCCATGATTGAAGAAAATTCATTAGGTCAAACGGTAGATTTTCAAGCATCATTAGAAACTTTGAATGTCATAAATAATAAGCAGAATATTCAAATTATTATTACCCAGGTTGGAAGAACCATCCCAACTTTAACTGGAATAACAATTTGGGTAGTAATAATCAACAATGGGGGAACAACTAAGGAAACCCATTGAGAAACTGGAACAAACTAGGGAATAATAATTATAAATCTACTTATCCTCCAGGTTTCAACAATAAGACACAGTTTAAGGAGAAGAAGTTGTCTATAGAAGAAGTTGTGTTACAAATGGGAAATCAATTACAAAGTTATGGAGCTACAATTAAAAATAATGAGAATCAACTTGGGAAAATAGCAAATTCATTAAGTAATAGATCCTAACGAACACTTCCTAGTAATACTAAATCAAATCCAAAAAGACTAGAATAAAGAACAAGTAGAAGTTGTTCAACTTAGAAGCAGAAGAGAGTTGGAAAGTCGGGTTCAAAAAGAAATTGAAGTGGTGAGAGAAGAAACTGAAGAATCAAAAGAGGACGCTCCAAATTGAAATAAGACCTATTTCTCCATCAATTGAAGATAAATTTATTTTGTCCATCGATTGAAAAACCTCCAGAAAATGAGTTGAAGTTACTTCCTGATCATTTAAAATGTCTTTTTAGGTGATTCATCTACTTTACCCGTTATAATTTCCTCAAATTGAACGATGGAAGAAAACCTTTTTAGGTGATTCCCAAACATTATCGGTTTTAATTTCCTCAAATTTAATTATAGATGAAGAAATAAGTTAATGAAGATGTTGAAGAATTATAAGAAAGCCTTTGGAAGGACAATTGCTGATATTAAAGGAATCAATCCTTCCATTTGTATGCATAGAATTATATGGAAGAGAACTGCAAACTCAGGGCTAATCCTCAAAGGAGATTGAATTTTATTTTGAAATAAGTTGTTAAGAAAGATATTTTAAAGTGGTTAGATGCTTGAATTATCTACCTTATTTTAGATAGTGCATGGGTTAGTCCAAGGGTTAGTCCAATTTACTGTGTTCCTAAGAAATGAGGAGTGACTTTGACTATTAATGAAAATAACAAGTTGATACCAACAAACCAAGTCACAAGGACAAGTCATCTACTAGACAAGTCATAGGGTGGTGAATATGCATTGATTATATAAAATTAAATCTTGTCACTAGGAAAGATCATTTTCCATTAATCTTTCTTGATCAAATGTTGGATATACTAGTTGGGCATAAATACTTTTGTTTTCTGGATGGATATATTGATTATCACCAAATACAAATAACTCCTGAGGATCTAGAGAAAATAACTTTTTACCAATTTTTATGGTACATTTGCTTTTAGAAGAATGCCCTTTGGTTTATGTAATGCCCCTGCTAGATTTCAAAGATATATGATTACAATTTTTTATAATTTAATTGAAAAATGGATTGAAAAAAGGGCAATTTTTTGTGATTTAATTGAAAAAGAGATTCAAATCTTTATGAATGATTTTTCAGTGTTTAGCACTTCATTTGACTCATTTTTAGAACATTTATCAAAAGTTCTTAAGTACTATGAAGAAAAAAAATTAGTCCTAAATTAGGAAAAATGTCAGTTTATGGTAGCAGGAGAAATTGTATGAAGACATAAAATATCAGAAAATGGTATGGAAGTAGATCCTGCTAAAATTCAAGTGATCGCTAATTTACCTTATCCAACTAATGTAAGGGAAATTAGGAGTTTTTTAGGACATGTTTGATTCTACAGACGATATATTAAAGACTTATAAAAAATTGCTATGTTTTTATGCCATTTACTAGATAAAGATGCAATTTTCAATTTTGATGAAGAGTGTCTAAAAGCTTTTGAGTTATTAAAAGAAAAATTAGTTACTGCATCAATTATAGTTTCACCAGATTGAGAAAAACATTTTGAACTGATTTGTGAAGCTAGTGATTATGCTATTAAAGTTGTTTTAGGACAAAGATGTAATAAAATTTTTTAAGTAATTTACTATGCTAGTAAAACTCTTAATGAAACTTGAAACTCAAATTCTCAAATTAATTATACAATAGCTGAAAAAGAGTTATTAGCAATAGTATATGTCTTTGATAAATTTAGATTATATTTAATTGGGTCTCATTGTGTAGCGCATACAGATCATTTTGCTATTAAGTACATAATGAAAAAAAAAGATGTTAAATCTAAACTTATAAGATGGATTCTTCTTTTACAAATGTTTGGCTTTGAAATAGTAGATCGGAAGGGGATTGAAAAATAAATTGTTGATCATTTGTCCAGGCTCGAGTTAGAAAAATCACTCTGTTTTGAAAAAGAAATTAATGATCATTTTCTAGATAAAAACTGTTCAATATTAATGAGTGATGTGTTCCGTGGTATGCCGATATTGTGAACTTTGTTGTTAGTGATATTACATTCTATGGAATGACATATCAACATAAGAGGAAATTTATTTCTGAAGCTAAGACTTATTTTTTGGATGACCCATTTTTATATAAACAAGGAAAGGATCTTATTATTCGAAGATGTGTACCTTTAGAAGAGACTTATGAAATTATCCAAAAACATCATAATTCTAATTTTGGGGGACATTTTGGTGTTGATAAAACAACATATAAAATTTTATAATCTGAATTTTATTCGCATACTATCTTTAGAGATGTTAATGCTTATATTAAAACTTGTGATGGATGTCAACGAGTAGGAAATATTTCGAGAAAAAATGAGATGACGCTCAATTATATGTTTGAAATTGAAATATTTGATGTTTGTGGATTAGATTTCATGGGACTATTTATACCATCTTTTGGAAATTTATATATACTGTTAGCAATTGGACTATATATCCAAATAGATAAAATCTGTTGTTTTACCTCAATGTGATGCTCAAAGTGTTGCAAAATTTTTAAAAACAAACATATTTTGTAGATTTGGGATGCCGAGAGTTATCATAATTGATGGGGGAAGTCATTTCAGAAATGTCATAATGGAAAAGTTGTTAAAGCAATATCATATAAATCATAGAATTGCTACTGTTTATCATCCATAGACAAGTGCTTTGGTTGAATTATCCAATTGAGAAATTAAAAGAATTATGGAAAAATCTGTGAATCCAAGAAAAATGGATTGGCAAGTCGAACTTGAATATGCTTTTTGGGTTTATAGAACTGCATACAAGGCTCCTATAGGAATGTCCCCATAGAGGTTAATATTTGGGAAAGCTTGTCACGTATTAGTTGAACTTGAGCATAAAGCATATTGGGCGATTAAAGAGTTCAATTATAATTTGAAATATGCTGGTGAGAAAAGATTATTGCAATTAAATGAGTTTGAAGAGATAAGGAATGAATCATGCGAGAGTGCTAAGATTTATGAAGAAAAGATGAAAATGTGGCATGATCGAAGGATTCTTATTGGCATGAAAAGATGAAAATGTGGCATGATCGAAGGATTCTTATTAAAAATTTTCATCCAGGGCAACAAGTTTTGCTATATAATGCAAGGTTAAGATTATTTCCAGGCAAACTTAAGTTTTAGGTGGATGGACCCATTTTTTGTGATAAAAGTTTATCCTTATGGAACTTTGGATATCAAAGATCCTAAAACTGAGAAAGTATTTAAAGTGAATGGTCATAGACTGAAACCTTATTTAAAAAGGGATCAGTTTAAATTTAACGATCAAATGATGTTGGGTCAACCAGAATAAACACTGGTTAAGTCGGGCTGACGACGTTAAACCAAGCGCTTTGTGGCAGGCAACCCATAGTTATCAGTGTATTTTGCTTTGATTGTTGTTTGTGTGTGATTAAGAAAATTTGGGGTAGTATTTTTGAGATTATTATGTGTTAGTATTGATTTTAAAACTTTATTTAGTGATCTAGAAATGCTAAAATGAGAATTTGGACATTAAGTTGACTGGTGTAAAATTGAGCACTTGAGCTTAAGCGCCAATATTCGATGCTTAAGTGCGGTAGTTAAAAACCATGTGCG